GGCTTCATTCCCCTGTCATTCTCTGTTTCCCTTGCACATCTGGAAAGTGACGGCAGAGAGCGGTGAGAGTGTGGCTGCTCCTCCAGGCAGGACTCTGGCACAAAGGCACGCCACAGCAGGAGCCGTACGTGCATCTTGCAGGCAGACCTAAAGTGGCTGTCAGTGGAGCTGTGCATCCAGTATCAAAAATACTGCTGTAGTCTATTCAGCTGATAATCCCACCACTGTTAAGAGCAGAGGGACCTGCTTAGGTCACCTCCTTAATCCTGGCCCAGTCCCTGTGAGACTGGTGAGTGTGAGGGATGGTCACAGAACGTGTGTCAGCTCTTTAGGAGACGTGGATCTCCTGGTTAAGAGTGCCAGTGAGGAGAGGCAGATGTCCATCTCTGTGAGAGTGCATTTGCCCAAAAAAGAAAATGAAGTGTGTTCAGGAAATTCGAGAAGTCGGATCAGGTGGCACTGAAATCAGCAGTCTGGGGAGCTCTGGTGTCAGTGAGCGATGCTGGAACAACAATCCGAGCTGGTTTCCCTAAACCTGGTCTGCTCTTGAGCCTTTCTCCCCTGTGTGTGCAGCTATTTACAGCTGTGGGGTGGCCAGGCAGAGCAGCGCGTACCCCGAGCGCAGACCGTGGTCAGGCCTCCCTCTGCCAACTGCAGGGAGGTTTCTAGCAAAGCTGTTTCAGGCTGGCCACTGCCACTTGCTGTTTTCTAACTTTCCTTTCTTTTTACCCTCCCCTGTAGTCCTGATCGACGGGGTGGAGTGGAACGACGTCAAGTTCTTTCAGCTGGCAGCACAGTGGTCCTCTCATGTCAAGCACTTTCCCATCTGCATATTTGGACACTCCAAATCTAACTTCTAGCCATGCTCGGCAGAGGGACCTTCTGTCCATCCCGGGGACTGCACACCAGGAGCCAGGAATTGCGTGCCAACTCCGACTCGCGTCGCTCTGCCCTCTCCTGCAGAATTAATTACAGATGTGCTTGGATTACTTTTGAATTACTTTTTTCTATTAACTCTTCAGTTTACTACAAGGGAAGGAAACCCCTTTAAACAAAGGCAAAAAAACCCAGTCTTAAATATAGATGTGCTGACAACATGAAGTCGTGGGGGAGTTGGCAGGAGCAGGCAACCTGCCCAAGAACACCTACCACTTACAAGCAGATAGCTGAATAACTGCACTGCTTATTAACCTGAGACCTCATTGGTGTGAGTGGGTTGGGGGAGCCGTGGATCAGCTCGAACGGATTTTGTGGAAGATCACGTGCATTACGGTGTGTTTGGCCCCCTCCCTCTGTATTCTAGGAAAAAAGGATGGCCAGTCTTTCTTCCTGCTGCCAAAGGATGAGAAATCAGCGAGTCTGGAGGGAGTTCAACTGTCGGGTTTGAAAAACAAACCGCTTGCATAGCTAGGGAGGTCTGGAGAGGAGATCCCCTTCGGAGCGTGGAGTCTGCCATGGGGACGGGCAGGTGTTTGTGCTGAAGCAATGCCTGAGGAGGGTTGGGCAGGAACAGGAATTAGGGAAACACTAGGTGTAAGGAAACTCCAGTGTCCCAGGTCTGTGACAATGACCAAACCGAGCCAGTCACAATGTCCCCGCAGCTGGCTGCGCTGCTGAGGGACGCCGCGTCAGTGGGGTCGCTGCTATTTACATACTCACACCAATTATTTACCTGTCAATAAAACCTCGTCCAGCCTCTAAAGGGAAAGGATTTTTTTTAACAGCTGCAGATTTTTTTTAATGCTTTCTAAAAAAAAATAAAAACAAAAAATAAGAGGGAAAAAAAAACCTAAGTTGCCAAAAAACCAAACCCAGGAAGATGAGCCGTTGTCTGTGACGTGATACATCACTGTAGTGGCTGGACTGGGAGCCAACCAGGCGCTCTGCATGTCCAGCTGCCTTCCGTCCATCTGTCAAACCGCACACGTGAGGTAGCGTGGGCTGCTTTATCTGCTCTGTCTTTGTCCTGCCCTGACCGCACTGTGCTCCCCAGAGCCTGCTGCCGTCTCCCTTGTGCACCTCCCCAGCCTGGGCGCAGGCTGCCTGGCTTCAGGGCCGCTGCAGGAGTGCATTTTCACCATGCCCTTTAACCACCGAGGACCTCTCCTCATAGGGACTCAGAGACTGTAACAAAATCAAAGGGTGCTGGGGGTAGGCAGCCTCCCGTGGGCTGCTCTGTAGGTGGCTGTTGTCCTTACTGTCAGCTTTCTGACCGTTCCTCCCCATGGGTATTACTCTGTGGATTGCATCCCTTCCCCAGCAGGATATGCTTTTGCCCTGGCACAGCATTGCCTATGGGTTGAGGCTTTGCTAGGGGGTTTCAGTCCCAAGGTGCAGTGGAAGCTGTAGCTGGGATGCGAGAGAGGATGAAGCCAGCCAGGTTCTCTGTCCACCTCGGGCAGCAAGATGACCTGGGAGATGGAGGATTTTTGGGTGTCTCGCACTGTTGTCTTGGCTTCGGCTGTGCTTGTGTTCACTTTGTACGCCTTACTGCTGCCAGGGGTGCTTGCGGTGCAAGGACAAGGGGATGCTCTTGCAAAGAGGCAGTGTGACAAGCCACAGGTCTGGGCGGCTCCAGGGGCTAGAGATGTGGCCTTTTGCTCTCCAGGCTTCCCAAGGCGTGCCTGGGAGGGACTTGGAGCAGGTGGTGGATGGGGTTTGGGGAGCTGAGTGTGCTTGCCGTGTGGAAGAACAGACATCTCTGGCATTTCAGGGTAAGGGACTGAAGTTTTTGATGGGGTCCTTATGGGTCCCACCCTGGTGGGCAGGCGAGGCTCTGTGAGCATTTCCAGAAGGCACTTTCTGAGGGCAGTGATGCTTTTGAACTGTTTTTTTAATTATTATTATTATTATTATTATTATTATTTTTGGTCTGATCCCTTACCCTTGGGTTTTTAAAGGCTTGGGGAATGTGCTTTGCCCTGCTTGGCAGATCCTGCTCTGCGCAGGGACCGCCCGGGTTCTTTTGGGCAGCGCAGCGGTGGTGTGCTCTGTTAGGCCTTCTCCTGCTGATGGGGAGTGAGGGGTTATTAGGCGAGAGTGTAGTCTCTGCTGGATCTGGTGCCTGTCGCAGCTCAGAGCACAGGCGCTGCTTCACTGACTCTGATTTCATGAAACCCATTCCCAGCACAAGTGCAACCTACTTGGCCAGGGACTGGGTATTCCCTTCAAACCACGCAGGGGAGGAGAACGTGGTCCCACGCCCGGTGGCACGCTGCTGGGCAGGACATATTGTCGGGTTGCAATACTCTCTTTCTTCCCGCAGTCCCGCGGGCAGCTCTGCCTGCCGTCTGCTAGCTCTTGGCTGTGGCAGAAGCTCGGCTGTAGTTCGAATGTCGTCGTGTCCATCAGTTCGTGCATTTTTGGTTGACCTGAGCTGATGCTCTGAGACTGTATAGTGTTGCCTAGCAGCGGTAGTGTGGGAGATGGTGTATAAGCACATCACTTCTTTTTCTTTATTGAGGCTGTTGCATCAAAAAAAAAAAGCTTTTTAAAGGAAATTAGTCAGTACGTGATTTCTTCCTCGAGTCTCACGCTGGTGTGACAAGGGTGGTTGGGCTGGGTTCCAGCGTCAGGAGCTGCACGCAGCCTGGGCAGCTCTCGGCGCCGGAGCGTGTTAGTGCTGCGGAGGTGGGGCGGACTGACCGACTGCAATAACTTTGTTTACTGGGGGGGTGAAGGGGGAACCATCACTGTGCTCCTCTTTGTACTTCAACCTACTGTAAAGAAACAAACGGTAGCTAGGACAGGATTTCCAAGGTCCTGCCTATCAAATGTGTGTTACCCTGCTCTACTCTCTCTGTGTGTGTGTGTGTGTGTGTGTGTGTGTGTATGTGTATGTGTGAGAGAAACACTTCTGCTCTTTGCATTTCATGTTCGTTTGTGTTTTGTTCTAACTTTGTACAAGTGAATTCACCGTGAAACTTTCTGTACCCCTGAGGGCTCGCATCTCTGCAGGGTTTCTCCCCTGTGGCAAGCTCCCATTGCTCTGAAACGCTGCTTCTGCGCCAGGAAGCATCCCAGCTTCTCGTCCTCGTCCTCCCAGAGTCCAGCAGTGGCAGGCTAGGCCTGCCCACGGGCAGCTGTGTGCCCAGGGGGTGGCTGTGGTGTTTCCCAGTCCTGGAGGCAAGGGCTGGCTGGCAAGTTTGGTGGTGCTGCTCCGGTCAGGGTGTTGTGCCTCTGTTGTATCGTGTGGAGCCACTTTGTGCAGCTGTTTCTGTCCCTGACTGGAGGAGAAACAGGTGTCTGTCTCTAAGGAAAGTGAGTGTCAAAGCATGCTCATGGCTCAGACCATTTTGGGAAGGGACTTTGCACCTGGTGACACGAACAAGTGACTGATCTCGGGTCTCCCACCCTCCCAGCTTCCCCAACAGTTTTCTGTGGGACCCTGCTACAAGCAAGCCCCACCGGCCGGAGCGATCCCTGCTGCGGGGCCAGGGAGAGCTGCAGGGGCAGTGAGGGGCCTGTGCCCGCGGAGCTGCGCCAGCCTGGCGGGGTTAGGTCGTTGTGTGCAAGTCAGTGAGTGCAGAAGGATGGCTCAGAGCAGAGGCAGCACCACTCTGCTTTCGGCTCTTGAGAGTTTTGGCAAGGAAGGTGCAACTCAAACAAAGAAATGCAGCGGCATTATCTCGCCCACCTGCATTGGACGGGGCTTGCTTTGGAGCCGCACGGTCTGACAGTGAAGGCAGGGGCTGAAGCGGGCAGCATCTGAGCTGATCTCTGGCCAGGAGGCGCTTTGAAGGCGGTGTCCCCTGGTCTTCCTGTCCCCTTGTGTCCCAAAGCTTGCCCCTGCTCTCCACAGAGCTCGTATCTCCCGCTCCCCTGGCTGTGGCTTCTCAAAGCAGCCGGTTTCTTTTCCAGCAGCTCGTGGGCAAAGGGCCCCCGCCTCCCTCAGAGGTGAGGTCTCAGGAACGGGCTCACTGCTGCGCTGGGCTGTGCAACACTGACCTAGTTTAAGAGCGCTGGCAAGCAGATGAAAGATGGAAGCTTTTTGTGGCGTCATGTTGCACCTTGAGTACTTCTTGGTCCTCCGGGTTGAGTTTCCTGGAGACAAAGGCTGGACCTCGGTCCTGCCGGCATTTGATCAGGGCTGGCTCTCCTGCGGCGCTGGCGACTTCGTGGGCATCTTGGGCGGCTGTTTTAGCTCAGTGCTGCAGTTTCCACCCAGTCAATTGTTACCGGTTACATCTCAGCGGTAACTGCCGAGTCCTCCTTAATTACACATGAGTTTGGGGAGAACCACTGTCTCCTTGGCTGTGTTCTGCTGCTTTAATTAGCACGCGCTTGTGGCTTTATCCTGCAGAGAGGGCAGGGGTAGGTGGCTGGGAGGTTTCTGGGGCTGGAGGAGATGTGCCTGTTTGCTTTCCATCATCAAACTCGGCTGAGAACCACATTGCCCCATGCTTAACCTGTGATTGCAGCAAAGGCCCCATCCTGTTTCTGACCAGCAGCGTGTGCTGGAGGGAGCACTGGAGCGCTGGGGTGAAGGGCATTGCACCTGGCACCTCCAAGTTCAAAAGGAAAATCCTGGCGAGAGGCAGCAGAGCCGGTGGCCTTCTGCTGCTGCTTCATGTGCTGAGAGATCAGGAAGGCTGGGATTAGGCCAGTCCCGCTGTGCCGCGGTGAAGGACTGGGGGCCCTGGAGCTTTTTTGAAGCTAGGTTGGATGCAGTGCCTCTGTCCCCTTTGTTCAGGGGGTCTCAATCTCGGCAGGTAGCTGTGTGGTGGCATTTAGTGTGACACTCCCTCCGAGCTTATCTGGCAGGGCAAAGGCCAGAAATGAGCAGCAGCATCTCCCAGAGGTTTCCTGGAGCCTCTTCAGCAGGGTTCTCATGGGAGATGCTCCTGGCAGGGCCGGCTCCTGCAGGGTCACTTGGCTGCTTTGGCACAGACTGCGGGAGGAGGGGACACGCCAACGTGGAAAGCAGCAGGTCACTGGTTTCCTTAAGGAGGAGCACCAGTACGGGGCCATATCCAGTCAGCTGCTGCTTTGCGCCTTGGCCAGAGGGTTGCCAGAGCATTGCCTGCCTGGTGTACGTGTATGTGCCGTGGCCGCAGGGAAGCGCCTTGCGAGCATGGGTGCCGGGGCTGTGTGCCGCCAGCCTTGTCCGGACCGTGGCGTACAAGGGGACGTTACCACTTTGTAGATTCCCGAGTTGTCCATCTGTTTCATTGTTGTACTGTTTGGGTTCTAGTTTTGTTTTGTTGGGTTTTTTTTTTTTTTTTTTAATGAAGACAGATTAAATGTAAATAGCCTTTTTTGGAACGAACTGCAACGTGCTCAACCTCGTCAACTATTTTATGGTACTAATGCAACACTAATAAAACTGGACATGAAAGCACACACCCATCCCTTGAGTCGTCTCTCATCAGGGGCTGCTCTGGCATGACTGGGGCAGCTGTCTCCAGTAGGAAGAAAGCAGCATGGCCTTCTGGCATGGCGGGCATCTCTTGCGTTACTTATCCAGGTGCCTGGCAGCACTGCCAGGGCGGAGCAGGTGGATCAGCATGTCCTCCCCCGCACTGAGCCCTCCTGCGGTTTTTGTAGCCCTGCTGCTCTCTCCCCTGCCCCCGATGTCTCCTCTCCCAGAGGGACCTGCTCGCCTCCTGCAGCTCTCCCGGATCCGACAGCCCCCTCTAGCACCTGGTCCTCACCCCTTCGCAGCAAGCAGGGGCCAGGCTGGTTCCCGTTTCTGGCCTGTGGGGGCTGTGTTGGATGGACACAGCTGGTGTTAGGGTGCCGAGGGGGGGGGTCTCAGTGGCGGAAGACTGAGGCTGCAGTAGCCTGAAGCTGTGTGTGCTCCTGGGAGAGCGGTGGGAGGGGGACCGGGATGCGTGGGGTGGCAAGCACCTGGGCTTGGTGCTGGGGAGCGGGAAGGTGGAGAAAAGAAGAAAAGGGAAGAGCTATGCAGCTGTTTTGGGGCAGAAAGGTAAGGAAATTTGGGGAAATGGGCCCACGGCTGCTATCCCCAGGATACAGCACGTTGGAGGCAGCAGTGGGAATGCAGAGCCGGAGCAGCCTGCATCCCTGTGCTCCCCTGGCTGAGCGTGGGGGCAGGAGGGGTGGCTGCTGGTGGAGCAAGGAGCTGGGGGTGAAGGGAGCTCCCCGCAGCGGGCCAGGCTGCTCTCAAAGCACGCGGGTCTTGATGGGCGTCCCAGCTCCTCCGCGTGGCCTGGCCAGGCTTGCAGGCGTGTTTATGGCCTGAGCCCTTTACTGGAGGAGGGGACGCAAGTCCCACCCAGGTGGCACTGAGCGGGGCTTGGATAACTCCAGGCAGGAGGAAGGTACGTAGCTTGGGAGGGGGCGAATTTGGGACTCTTGAGTGCAGAGACAGCACCAAAAGCCATGGAGAGGGCCTGGCTGCTGGCACGACGGAGGGAGCACCGTGGGGCAGCTAGGGGAGACAAGTGGGTCGAAGCTGTGTTTTGGCTATGCATTTTTTGCACAGGTTCAGCTGTAAACCTGCACCGAGGGCCCAGCTGTGTGGAAGAGGTGCAGCCTGAGCTTCACCTTTCAGAGCCCACGGAGGAGCTCGTCTCAGCACGGAAAGGCGGGTGCAAGCGGAGGGGACTGGGGTGGTGGGAGGCTCGGGAGCCGGCGGGGGGAGCAGAGTGCTCTTCGCACCACCGGGGAGCACGCGTGAGCAACCCGTGCCAAGCCAAAGCCGTGGTGGGGCCGTGGGGTATGCTCCCCTGTCTTCTGGAAGGGAGGAGAAGGAAATGAGAGCTGGGTGGAGCGAGGACGGTTCAGGGCCGGGGTGTGCCAGGTGGCATGCAATGGGCCTGGAGAGCTTCCCTCACCCACACCTGCTGGGACAAGCCAATTTCTGCCAGGCAGCCCCGGACTGGGCTCCCAAAGTGTCGGCGTCTTCCTTCCGCAGGTCTCGGCCTTTCTCAGCGGAGGTGCACCCCCGCTGCCGTGTGAGAGGCGTCACATGCAAGCGATGCCCTGTCAGGATGCACCGAAAGCCGTCTGGAAGGGCTGGGTTTGCCACGGTGAGAGCCAGTGGCACCCGTGGGAGTGGGGTTTGGTGGTGGGAGATGGGGTGTTGCAACCCGCTCCTCCTCAGGCTGCAGCCGCCGGTGCCGGCTCCCCTCCTTCCATTGCACAACGCCCCGGCGGTGACCACAGCCATTGCTTAACCTGGAAGCGGAACAGCAGGGAAGTTCCGACGTGGTTTTGGTTACTATCATTTAAAAAACAATTTAGCATCTGGAAAAAGCAGTCAGCGCCACGTGACCGGCCGCTTCTTCGTGTGCAGCTACCAAGTGCCCCATGATGCGATTTGTAAATATTTATTCTGGATAATTTTTCTGTGTCCTACTGAATTATTTTCTGCTCTGCAGAACGGTTGCACAAGCAGCCTGGGGTGTCCCCAACAGCTGTGCCGGCATGTGCTCCCCCGGCTGGGGCAGAGAAGAGGAAATATTGCGGTGGTGCTCCCCAACTTTTTTGGCTGACCGATTTTCACCCCCTGAAGTGCTTTCCTCGCTCCGCCGTGCTCCTTGCGTGCACTGGAAACATGAAAGCAGAGCCCTGTGCCCTACTGGGATCTGAGGACTGTTGGACATTTGGGGGTTTTTTTCTAACATGCAAAGCAAATTTTAACATAAAGCCCCGTTCTTTTTCAAACAGATGTATTTTGGCAGATGTCAAGGTTTTGGGCGGTCTTGTGTAGCTGTTTCAGGACCTTATCGCAACCAGGGTTGCAAGCACAGGCAGTGGCCATGCCCAGCCCTGGTAAAGCATATGACGGCTTGTGCCGTCAACCACTTATTCCAGCAAAGAGTTTCAGGACAGATATTTTCTGGCCGTCATGACCTGTCTGACTGTGAGGAGGGGCCTTGGGCTGACACCTTGGGCTCAGGCAACATGAGGGGATTCTTCAGCTCTGCACTGGAGCCGAGAAGTGAGTGTAGATGTCCTGCCATGCCCAGGAGGCCAGCGGTGCCCCAGGTCCGCCTGTGCTGACCGTCGGAGGTGTAGCTCTTCGTTGGGGTTCACCATCCAGCCTTGGCCAAGCGTGTGGAGAAGGCCTCAGGGGGGATGGCTGCTCACCTGATGTGCTGTACTTTGTCAGCCCTCGCTGGGGGACCTGCTGTAAAGGTGTTATGTACCAAAGACTGATGGTTTCTTGGGGTATTTTTTGGCATCAGCCTGCCAGTGACTGTTCATCAACCACGTAACTGCTGCAGGGCTGCTGAGGAGACGCCTGGAGAGGAGCAGTACATGGGTGAAGAAGGGACGGTGACACCCCCAGGTCAGTGAGCAAGGGAAAGCTAAGGCGGTGATCTACGTTTCACCTTTCGGGCTGACACCCGAGGAGGGGGGAAGGCTCCAGCGTGGCAGTGTCTTGGGGGCAGCGGGTGACACAGGCATGGAGGGGACAGGCCAGGCAGCCCCTTGCCATCGTGGGGACTGGAGGGAGATGGTGTAGGACGGTGTGAGTGGGAGGTGTGTGTAGGGCTGGAGGGGTGTACACAGGGAGCAGGCACCGCACAGATGTAGGTACAGGCACGAGGGGTGGTGTCGCATGGCGTAAGGAGGGCTGTGTGTGTGAGGGCAGGCAGCACGGGGGCCGTCTGCAAGAACAGGTGGTGTCTGTATGTGGAGGCTGTGTGTGAATACAGGTGGGGGGTGTGTGTGTGGAGGGCTGTGAGTACAGGCGGATGTGTGTGCGTGTGCGTGACGAGGGTTGTGTGTGAGTACAGGTGTGTGTGTGAGGAGGGCTGTGAGCACAGGCAATGCGTGTGCATGAGGAGGGTTGTGTGTGAGTACGGGGGGGGGGGGGGGGGGGGGGGGGGGGGGCCAGGGGGGGGGGGGGGGGGGGGGGGGTGAGGAGGGCTGTGAGCACAGGCGTGTGCGTGAGGAGGGGTGTGTGTGAGTACAGGGGTGTGTGTGTGTGAGGAGCGCTGTGAGTACAGGAGGGTTGTGTGTGAGTAGAGGTGTGTGTGTGAGGAGGGCTGTGAGTACAGGAGGGTTGTGTGTGAGTACAGGTGTGTGTGAGGAGGGCTGTGAGTATACCCGCCGTGTGTGCATGTAAGGAGAGCTGCGAGTTCAGGCAGAGGCGTGTGTGCGAGCACAGGTGGTGTTTGAGCGTGTGTGTGCCGGGCTGTACGTGAGGACAGGCCGTGTGTGTGTGCGAGAGGAGGGCTGTCCACGCCAGGACAGGCGGGGTGTGCGAGGAGGGCTGAGCCTGCGCGGCGAGGGGCGAGCAGGGCTGTGTGAGGGCCGGCGGCGTGTGCCCGTGAGGAGAGGCGCTGCCCGCCGGCAGGCCCGCTCCCCTC